AACGCAACGGCTCACAAATCTCTGGATGGGTTTTGAGGCAGCAGAGAGGGGCTGGTGAGTGATGGGAGAGGCCCCCAGCGGCACCCTGCGCGCCTGCAGGTGCTCCCTCTGCGGCATCTGCAGCTCGGGGCAGAGCTTCGGAAGCTTCGGCTCCCGGAGCAGCTGCGAGAGCTCCGAGTCCTGACTCAGAGAGGAAGTTAACTTCTGAAGAAGTTTGAGAAGTGAAGGCGCTCCTTCAAATAAAGGAGCATCGAGGCCCTGGACTCTCGGGGTCGTTTGAGCACTGCACTTGGCCCATAGAGGTAGTTCACGCAGAGCCATTCCTCGCCCCCAAAGGAACTTTCCACCGCCGTGGCGTTGGACACCCCACAGCTGCCGTTAGTGCCGCTGCCCTCCTTCTCGTCAAACCGGTACCACTGCCCGCGATCGCCTGACCACCCCGAGCATGCAGCAAGTCTCCCCTCAACCCTTGACTTAAATGCATTAAAGGGAAGCCTTGAAACCATTGAAACTCCTGAAAAGCAAAGGCTTTGACCTTCCATCTCGGGCCGTATGTAGGACACGTAATGGTCATCGCACTCCACCATGATGGCATAAAGATGGTACAGAGATCCGCCCTCTGCATACCTCCAATGGGTGGCTGAGTGGGACGTGGGCAAAGCTTAATCGACTCGATCACTCGATCCGCTGAGTGCCGCTGAGGCACTTCCCCATATCGATCTGGCGCGGAAAACGGAGAAAGGTCTCTGTGAGCCCCGAGAGGCCCGTGCAACAGTCGTAGTCGCCCCGCTTCAGATACCAGGAAAGGACACTTGGCCTAGGTGAAAAAGTGACAAAGCTGAAAGTGATGAGGCAGCATGAGGCAGCATGAGGCCGCTGGGCAGAGCTGGGCAGAGCTGGGCTCCCCCGGCATCTTCCGGAACTTCCGCGCCGTCTTCACCCGCAGCCCAGAGCCGTCCTCGATGACTTTCGGGGAGAAGTACTGGTCCAAGGTCTCTTCCAAATTCGCAAAGCCACGCACCACCTCAAATTCCCACGAACACGTTTTAGGACTCATGCCTCATGCGTGCTCATTCATGCTCATCCCGTCACATCCCATCACATCCCATCACATCCCTTCACATCCCGTCACATCCCGTCATATCCCGGTGGCCAGGGTAAAGCAAGGCCCGGTGTGGACACAGGTGTCCGAGAAGTCTCCCTCGACGGCCTGCGCCGTCCATTCCACCTGACTTCGAAGTGCGCAGATTTGCCCAGATCTGAGGTGTGAAAGTGCTTAATGCAATGTGCTCGCCTCAAAGGTGAACATGTCCTGAATTGACTGCCAAAGTGTTCGGTTCTCTGCAGGCACCTCCACCACGCGGGGGAGTGCCTGAGAACAGAAATCTTCTCTGCTTGGCTTCGCAGCAGCTCTTCGCTCCGGGCCTTGGCTGCCTTGCCTCCTTTGGCCTTTGCTGCTGCCGCCTTCACAGCCGCCTCCTCAGCCTGCAAAGAAAACTCTCTCTTCAGATTTTCCTCTCGTGAAGGGTCTGACCTTGAGCATCTCTGCCGAAGGCATAAGCTCAGACTCCAAGCACTGGAAGACCTCCTGGCAGAAGACGTCGGGATCCGCCTGCAAAGTGAGTCCTGTGTGTAAGCAAGCGTGGAAACAAGAAGCAAAAACAACTCGGCCTTGGAGACCTTTGTCCAGTTTTTGCGCCCGAAGGCAGCGCAGAGCACGGAGCAGGAGGCCGGCAGCGTGCGGTGCTGAAAAGTGGAAGAAGCGGATTGCAGAAGTGCAGAAGACAAGGCTGGGAAGCGGGGGAGGTATGGTTTCTTAAACCATGCTGATTGTCACTTGGGCACTTAAAATATACATGTCACCTGCAGCCGGACGAAGATCTCCCGCAGCGCTGGCAGCACCTCCAAAGCTGAGCCGTCGTCTTTTTTTGTGAAGAGAGGCATTTAGAGCACGAGGAACTGAGGTACTCACACCCACAAAAAGTCACTCACACGATCTTAGCGCCCGGCACGGGACTTCTTGGCTGAGAGCTGGCAGGGATTCGAGGCGCCATAGATGGCCTGATGCCAGTGCTGTGAGAAACTGGTTTCAAACAAAAGGAGCTTCGTGAGATTTCGTGAGCTCAAGCCCCCGGGGAGCCCCCCGGGCACCGGGCGGAGCGGAAGAGGCCGAGATGGTACCACATCTGGACCAAACTGTTCAGGAACTGCGGCGCCCGCCTCAAGGCAAGGCCATGCAAGGCCATGCAAGGCCCTGAAATACAGGTCTGCATGGATTCTCACAGCTCTAATCCCGTCAAGCGACTCGAAGGAGCCCGGGTCCATTTTGCCTTTAGCCCGCCGCTCTCATTACCCACGAAACTTGCAAGCTTCCATGCAGTCCAGATACTCAAGCTCATGTACCGCGACTTGGTTTTCGAGTTCACTTTCATGGCCCCCCCTGCCAAATAGACAGAGGCACCTCGTGGATGCGCAGTCACAGAGCAGTGTGTGAGATGCAGTGTGAGAGCAGTGAGAGAGTGTACACACACATTACCCAGGCTGGAACGGAAACAGACTGTGTCATCCTTATCCACGAAGCCGCTGCTGCGCAGCGTTGCTTCATCGCAGTGGACAAAGTCATGCCAGCCACGGTCAATCGCCTGACAGCCAAGGCAGCAAATCAAGCTTTACTTTAATTAGTCTCTCACAGCTATACAAGCACCTTGCCGTCAGAAGATTCCACAGGCGAGAAGGTGTGCTTGTCATGTTTCACAATGGACTTCTTCAAGTCCTGCACAGCTTTGGACACTAGGCCCTGGATTCAACGGGCAAATCTGCGCTCTCCTGAAAGTTGATCAGCGAGACCAGGAATTGCACGTCTTCAAAATACCAATGTGGAGGGTAGTCTTCTGAAGGTCGAGCTTCCACAAACGCTGAAATCCACCGAGTGTCCTTCTTGTCCTCAATGATGTGCAAAAAGGAGGCCAGACAGCAAGTGCAAAGGCAGATGCCTCCTTTCCATCAGCATCCTTTTTGCCATCTTTATCGTTCTCTTTATCCCTCTCTTTTTCTTTGGGAACCTCCTTCAGAAGAGCTGCTTTCAGCTTCTCCTTCTCCTTAAGGTTCAGTCGAGCCAATGCTCAGCCAATGCTCTCAAGACTGGACACAACGGGTTCACACAAAACACAGCTTCTGTGCCGACAGCACGCGGTCTTCTGAGTTTCTCTTCGTCGTGCCTTAGCCTTGTCACCGTCTGAGTCCTTCTTCTCTTTGTCCTCCTCTTTCTTGCCTTGAAAGGCAATTAGTGAATGGTGGATTTTCTGAGAGATGCTAGAAAACTTCAGGGGAGAGCACCTGGGCGGTTCTTTCGTGCATGCTCGGGAGCGCTTTTGGTGCCCTGAGGGAAGACCAGCAACCTAGGTCGAATGGTGAGTCAGGACACGTGTCTCTTTCTTCGCCTCTTCCTTTCCAGTTTCCGGGCCGAGCACCCGAAGACGAAGCCCCCAACGCTTTTGGCCTTGGACCGGAACTTCTCAGGGGCGACATCTCGCGACAAGTCCTCCAAGGTGCCCATCGAAACAACCGTGTGCCCCATGTGCTCCGGATTCTGAGGACGCTACAGGCAGGGCAAAAAGTGACGACATTTACGAGGAGGCCGGCTTTCAGGCGTCCAAAACAAAGACAGCTACGAGGATGGCGACCTTTCGGATTCTGAGGAAACCACCAGGGTCTAGAACTGACGACCGTTACGAAGATGGCGGCTTTCAGGCGTCAAAACAGGGACGGTTACGAGGATGGCGACCCCGAGCGGCCCCATCCCTGTGACGGTTGTTTGTAACTCTTGAAGCGCGACGAAAGCACAAGAGGCTAAAAATGATGACAGTTACGGCTGTGCTCACGTGGCAGTGTATGCAGCGTCCTTCACGGACACCCTGAGCTCCACCTAGCAGCTCCGCAACGCTCTGCAGGTGCACAGCAGGAAGCTTGACTTTGGGCCAGGCCCCAAGGCCCCAGGCCTCGTGAGGGTGCAACTCTGGCAATGAACGGAATGGCGACACGGCCGTGCGGCGCTCCTGGATTCTGGTGGTGTTATTTTGGCATCCACTCTACGATCTTGCCTGGATCTAACGAACCCCATCCCTTCACAAGCATGGCCTAAAACGATCGTGACCTCTGTTTTGGGCATACTGGCATACTGGCAAGGCCAAGGCGCTTATCGTTTGCCATCTTCTTCGATGATCGGCTAGCATTATTTCAAGCATGTTCCAAATCATGCAAGATGTGAGGCTCGCGGACGTCATGAACGGTATGCCCACACAAACCCACTGCAACTTCTGTTTTCCTTTTACGCCAGAAACTTTGGCTTGCTTGTTGAATGGTTTTGCAGTTCTCGCACAACCTAACATTTCATGGCGAAAGCATTTGGTCGATATCCTTGGCACTGGCGCATCTGTCGCTCTGCCGCGCCATGCCGCGCCCGACTCGACCCTCCTGACGAAATCACAAGGCCCGATACCCTTGATCGCACAATCCTGTTCATCAGCATTGTCCTTTGGGATCTCGTCCAAACCCGACGTGCTCCGCGTGCTCATCACCTTCCGTTGCTTTCCCTTGAACCCTTTACACCCAATTCCAAACTCCGACCCCGCGAGGCTAAACCCTGCAACCCGCAAGCCAGCTTCCAAACTAAAGCCCCAGCAGCAACCAAAAACTTAGACCCAAACCCTACAGCCCAAACCCTGATCCCTGAACACTCCACAGACTCCATAAGCCTGAGACAATTATCGGGAAAGGGGGAGATTGTGTTGTAGTGCAACAATTGTACATCTCCAGCAATTTGCGGAGCTCATCACCTGTTGCAGGGAATTCCCACCTCCATTACGGACAATGCTGCTTGTCCCAATATGCAGGAATGAAACACAAACAATCAACCTACGATGCAGAAACAACCAATTCCACGCCAAGCAATGACTGCACTGGATGCTACACAGTCATGCATAATACACATACATGACATTGCTTACGTGGCCACGAGGGCTTACTACATAGCCTCTTTTATAGATCCAGGGCTGGACCTGCAGGTCTACAACAACTACAACGACCATTAAACCTTGAGCCGACGCCTCTTTTGACTTCAGCGGGCTGCGGCATTATACACGAAGACTCAAAGGAATATCGTTAGCTTTAGATAGCTCATCAAATAATATCCGATCACCGGATACCAAGTAACATATATGAAGAAAGTTTATTATCAATCGAAACATTTCGATAGCACAGACTGTATCACACATTGTAGCAGAGTGGCAATCCCAGCATATCCCGAGAGCCGTCTCCTGCCTTTGTGAGGCCAGCTCCCTAGCGTAGCCACTTCGGGTTACCGGGGATTTAGCTTGCGGGACTTCCCAAATTTTCTCGTGGGGCCCTGCCTACCACGCTCCCTTCTCGCAGAAAGCTCGCTTTAGTAGCCATCCGCATGGCCTACCAGTTTATTAAAACCACTCCATTTCACGTCCTCCCCTTTAAGGGGGGCTCGGAACCTAGCATCAAAGCTATCAAATTTCTCGTTAGTGAGAACATCCGCTAGCTGATTGAGGTCTCAGCATATCCACGTAAGCTGCATATCTGAAAGTTTTAGACCAAGTCTTAAGGTCCACTCTTATCCTATCTTA